AATTCTTCTGATTCACTTGAAATTTTTTTTATTCTTCTTCTTTTTTGCAATTAAAGCTTTTTTACTAGCTTGTAACTCTTTTTTATTTTTTTAATTGCTTAGCAATTTTTTCTTCTAATAATTCGTTCTTTGATATAACCGTTCACTAAAAAAATTATAACAAAATAAAATTTAATAATCAAAAAAGATTTTAAGTATTATTTTAATTATAAATATACATTTTATAATGATTATTTTTATATTTACAAAATATTGAATGACTAAAGTACTTTAAACGCTTGACAGATTTAATTTTGAGGTAAAGAAGTTATAGTATTATAAATATACGGTGATTAATTGGATTGTGATAAAATCAGAGGGTCTAATAAATGACCGAATGAATTTTTTACTGGGTAAAGGGCTTCTGACGGATCCAATAGTTGACCGGTCTTAAAATAATATTACAACTTATAATTTAACTTTATTTTTTCAAAAAAGTTGAAATCTGATCTTTAATTAACATAATAAAACTAAAATATTTTATATTATGCCGATAAATATCACTAAATTAATGATAAAATGCACTCACTCTCCAATTATACGGTAGTTATTTTTGACCGCTTTATGGCTGGTTGCGTTGTAAACAAACTCAGAATATTTTTTTAAAGCTATAATCACTGCGCAATTAATTGCGTAATTTTTTATTATGATGATTAAATGCCATATATTTTTATTTTAATACTTTAAGAAAAAAAAACCCCTGTAAAATATTAATTAATTAACTTTTTTATACATCGGTCAACTAATTGGTGACCGGTCAATAACTGGTGCATTTACCCTATATTTTTAAAAATTAATATTTTGAATTATTTTTAATACACTCTAATAAAAAAGTAACTAAAAAAATATATTTAAATACATATGTATGTTCTTCCGTATCTTTTTCTACTCTTTGCTTCCTTTCTTGAATAAAACTCAGCTGCTTGATTAACGAGCTCACTGCGGGTGGGTAAGTCAACCTCGAAATTTTCCGCTTAATTTTCATTCTATTCTCTTAAAAATTATCTTACTATTATTTTGCGCTCTGCATGGTCAAGCTCTTGCACTTTTAAAATCCAGATAGTTTAGCAACTAGTTAATAAATAAAAAATAACTAGCACTAGTTAATTATTAATTATTAATAATGACTAATTATTAATTAATTATTAATAATTATCTTTTAATAATTTAAATAGCGGGCTTAGAGCATGAGCCAAATAAAAATAATTATTTATAATAATAAACATCAATCTAAATTAACAGATACATCGGAGACACTAAAGTCGAGAGGAAGCAGAGCAGATTTTACAGTCAATCTTGCGCAGCACCAAATCCTATCATCACTGTCACTGAACACACGCCGACCCCTTCGCCTGATTATTTAAAACGCCAGGTATTTATTTTTTAATTAAATCCTAAAAAAAAATTTTTATAAACCCTGATAAATAATTTTTATAATTAAAGGGATCAATGGACAGCCAGTTGGACTCGATCAGCATCCACGGAAGCAGACTGAGCTCAGAACGGAAGCCAAGTTTGACCCGATCTCAAACAGACTCTAATATCACTTACTTGGGGGATGAAATTCCAGAGGCGCCTGGTTCTGCTTACTACATCACTAAGGAAGGTGACATTGACTACCAAATTGTACTTAAGGTAAAATTATAAAATTTTTAAATCAAAATCTCTATTTATATTAGATCTGATTAAATTTATTTTTTAGGCTGTTCATTCGGTTGCTTTGAGAGATGGGACATATTGCACCCTTCGGGTCTGCGAGAGTATTCTTAATTTGGTAGAGCTATTGATGGAGATGGGTGTATTGAAACAGTGCTTTGGAGATGAAGCTAGTAATGCTGGTAATTTATTTTATTTATTTATTAATTTTTTTTAAATTAATTTATTTATTGGTTTTTTTTTCTTTAATTTTTTTCGTAATTTTTTTCTATTTAATTTATTGATTGATTTTTTTAATTTAATTTATTGATTTAATATTTTTTAATTAGTTAAAAAAAAATTTTTTTTAGTATTTTTTTTTTTAACGAGATAACTTTTTTTTTTTAATTTTTCCAAATAATTTTGTAATGATACAATATTTTTATTCAATTTTTTTAATTAATAATTTTAACAGGAAAATTTTTTTATTGATTTATTTTTATTCAATTTATTTATTGATGATTTTAAATTGAAGTTATTTATCGAATTTATTTATTGATTTTTTTTTTACTTAAATTTTTAATTATTTAAAACGCCAGGTATTTATTTTTTAATTAAATCCTAAAAAAAAATTTTTATAAACCCTGATAAATAATTTTTATAATTAAAGGGATCAATGGACAGCCAGTTGGACTCGATCAGCATCCACGGAAGCAGACTGAGCTCAGAACGGAAGCCAAGTTTGACCCGATCTCAAACAGACTCTAATATCACTTACTTGGGGGATGAAATTCCAGAGGCGCCTGGTTCTGCTTACTACATCACTAAGGAAGGTGACATTGACTACCAAATTGTACTTAAGGTAAAATTATAAAATTTTTAAATCAAAATCTCTATTTATATTAGATCTGATTAAATTTATTTTTTAGGCTGTTCATTCGGTTGCTTTGAGAGATGGGACATATTGCACCCTTCGGGTCTGCGAGAGTATTCTTAATTTGGTAGAGCTATTGATGGAGATGGGTGTATTGAAACAGTGCTTTGGAGATGAAGCTAGTAATGCTGGTAATTTATTTTATTTATTTATTAATTTTTTTTAAATTAATTTATTTATTGGTTTTTTTTTCTTTAATTTTTTTCGTAATTTTTTTCTATTTAATTTATTGATTGATTTTTTTAATTTAATTTATTGATTTAATATTTTTTAATTAGTTAAAAAAAAATTTTTTTTAGTATTTTTTTTTTTAACGAGATAACTTTTTTTTTTTAATTTTTCCAAATAATTTTGTAATGATACAATATTTTTATTCAATTTTTTTAATTAATAATTTTAACAGGAAAATTTTTTTATTGATTTATTTTTATTCAATTTATTTATTGATGATTTTAAATTGAAGTTATTTATCGAATTTATTTATTGATTTTTTTTTTACTTAAATTTTTATTTTTTTTTTTTTTTTTTTTAATTTATTAATTTAATTTTTTTAATTAATTAAAAAAAAAATTTTTTTAATATTTTTTTTTTAACGAGATAATTTTTTTATTGCATTTTTTAATAATAAAAATCTTTTTATTTAATTTTTTAAATTAATAATTTTAACAGAAAAAATTTTTTAGTTAATTTTTTTATCAATTAAATTTTTTAATTAATTAAAAAAAAATTTTTTTTATTTAATTTAACATTTGTTAAATTTTAAGAAAAAATTAATTTAAGGATCAGGTCAAGACAACGAAAAGCAAGAGCACAAGCACGACTCTCCAGTAAACGACCAAGACCCGCGAAATGACCTGGAAGGTCGAAACTGGAACGCCCACGCTTTGATGCTGAATTGTGTCTTCCGGGTGATAAAACACTTGGGGTGTCCTCACGGCTGCGCGGATGGAATCAGGGGTGCCCAAGCGGACTTCTGCAGGTCCCAAGTCTCCAGCTTGCTCAGCAAGCTCTTCCACAGCAGCTCAAGGCAGTTCTCAAGGACTCTGAGGTTGATGGTTCGCAACCAGCCTATCTCGGAGATCCTCGAGCTTTTTCACTCTTATGTTGGCTTCTGCGTGGAACCTAGCTCATTGCTATCTCCTTTGAGTAAATTTTTTTTATTAAGTTTTAGTTAATTAAATTAAGCAATAAAAGAGAAAAAAAAATTTTAATAATTATTTTTTATCCAGATCAAAAAAGGAACGTGAACAAATCTCCAGAAACTGCAAATCAAACCAGTTACGCGACTAATTTTGGTCTAGGGACTGGAATTTTATCCAACACAAATGCTTCAGTAAGTATAATTAAATAAAATTAAATGAATAAAATTTTGCTTTATTAAATAGTGAATTTTGTTAAATTGCACTGTACTTTCTTAAATATTGACATTTTTAAAGATATAAGCTCATCTTGATGTTACACTTGTCAAGAGCTTTCATTTGAGTACCCACATGCATTTTTGATATATTTTTCATATATTCATATATATAAATATATGAAATATATGAAAAATTGATGTGGGTACTTAAACGAAAGGTCTTCATGAATGTAATGTCGAGGTGAGCTTATATCTTTAAAAATGTCAATATTTCACAAGTTACAAGATCATTTCTTAATTGATGACATTTTTTTTTATATAAGCTCATCTTGATGTTACACTTGTCAAGAGCTTTCATTTGAGTACCCACATGCATTTTTGATATATTTTTCATATATACACATATATGATATATATAAATATATAAAATATATGAAAAATTGATGTGGGTACTCAAATGAAAGATCTCGATGAGTGTAACATCAAGATGAGCTTATATTTTTAAAAATGTCAATAGTTCACAAAATACAAGATTATTTCTTAATTATGTATCCTAAAGACGAAATTTTTTCTTATTTTCTTAATAATATATATAATTTATAATTAGGTAGCAGCGACTGCATCAGCATTGGCTTCAGCAACAGCAGCTTCAGCTACAGCGACTTACGGAGGCCTAAAATACGCATCACGTACAATAGAAAGCCAAATACTTGGGTGTATTTTCAAGACCCTTGTCACTAGATTTGTTTCAAGCTCTCAGGAGTTCAAGTCCCAGGAAAATATTTCTGTCTACTGTGATATCAAACAATTTATAACTTATGTAAAAGAAAACCATGGTGGTGTCTTTCGACGAGTAGCACTTAGTGGAATTTTAGATTCTTCAGACAAGCCAAATAAACGATGTAATTCGAGTATTATAACTACTAGAGTTATTCGGCATATTCATCAGTCAGATTATGATGATGATCTTGGAAATGATTGTCATTATATTGATGATCGGGGTATTAGAAAAGCTTTTAAAAAACGGAGTACTTCTTCTACAGGAGCGGTAATTAATTATATTATTATTATTAGCAATGTTATTATTATTATTATTATTATCATTAATGAACAATTTCAAGTTTTTACTAATAATAATAATAATAATAATAATAACTAGCAACCTGCAATCACTATGTGACTGCCGAAAGTTGCTAACTATAATAAATAAAATTTTGCTTAATTATATAATGACTTTTGTTGAATTGCACTGTACTTTTTTAAATATTGAATTTTTTACAGATATAAGCTCATCCTGATGTCACACTCATCAAGAGCTTCCATTTGAGTACCCACATGTATTTTTGATATATTTTTTATATATACATATATATTATATATATAAATATATAAAATATATGACAAATTGATGTGGGTACTCAAATGAAAGGTCTCGATGAGTGTAATGTCGGGATGAGCTTATATCTTTAAAAATGATGAAAATGAAGTTAGCTGACATTTCAAAATTTTTAGAAATTTTTTATCGAAAAAATTTCAATTAAACAATTAAAAAAAAAAATATCACATGTTAAAAACTTGAAAAACTATAAGTGCAATTATAAATGAAAATATCACATGTAAAAATGTCAATTGTTCTCGAGATACAAGGTCATTTCTTAATTATGTAACTTGAAGACACAATTTTTCTTTTTCTCTTAATAATATAGAAAATAATAATAAATTTCAAAATATCTTATTATTATTCTACTCTTTAAAATTTTTATTATTATTATCGTTGTTTCTATAAATGTTTTTTTTTTTTAATTACAGTTGCAGAGTTTATTAGAAACAGAATTGGGTGAAGAAAATACAAAAATAAGCCAAAGTCCCCTAGGAAATCTACGAAAAAAGCATCTCTTAACACCACGACAAAGTGAGCGAAATCTCGGAATCGGTGAGACCTGTGTTTCAAGAAAAGCACGAAAATCAACGCGGTTCCAGCTTGGAGGAATAGTAAATTGGTTCAGACGCGAGTACGGAAGAACTGATTCAACCGACAGCCATGACAGCAGCGAATCGCCCAGCGAGGGAAATTTTATCAGACAGGCCAGTTTTCACCGGGGTCATTACCGTGTCACTCGTCCAGGTCGCGGGTAAGTAAGCTTAATCAAGTAAGTCAATTAATCAAGTTAAGTCAATTAATTAATAAATTTTATTAGAGTTGGACAGACTCTGCAGCGAGCCAAGCGTCGGATGGAAAGTAAACTAAACAAAATCGGCTTTAGAAAAGGAAAAAAGAAAGAAAGTCTTGAAGAAGCTCCACATAATTGTAAGTTTTGATTTTGTCATTAATTAATTTAATAATAATAAATTATATTAATTTTTTTTTTTTAATAGATTTTAGCAGAAGAAATTCAATGGACCTCGGAGATGCATCTCGGGAGTCAGAATTTGTAGTTTTAAAAGAAAGACGGCTGGTACCTCGCGAAGCAGTATTCGAAGGGATGAAACGTTTTTCATTTTTGTTAGAAACTTGCCAACCTGGTTCAGTACCAGACCATCATTTAATAGCAGCAATTCTCGACCTGGTAATTTTATTTGTTGACACTAATAATTAATATAAAATTGAGATGAAATGTATGCACAGAAAAAAAAGGTTAACTTGAGCCAAGAAAATATTTTTCTTCCTAATTATTTTTTTGAGCAAAAAAAATTTTTTATTGATAAGAAATTTCACTTATTCCAACAAAATTAATTTTCTTGCTTTAAAAAATACGTATCTTGATCCAAGAAAATTTATTTAAGTCAAGAAAATCTTTTTGTTTTGAGAAAATTCAGCCTCTAGCTCGAAAAAATTTAGTTCTTGATAAAAGTTAATTTTCTTGTCTTGAGAAAATTTTTCTCTTGCTCCAAAAAATTAAATATAATGATAGAAGTTAATTTTCATTAATATTTTTATTGAAATGGCAAGATTTTATTGAAATGTCAAATGGCAAGATCAAATAATATTTCATCGAATTAAAATCGAAATAATTGTTGTAGCCTCACGCTCCAGTGGTAGCCAGAGCATCATTGCTGCTAGAGTGTGCCCACTTGGTCCACCAGTGTAACAAAGGCCACTGGCCAACCTGGATGAAGATCAACCTCCCGATATTCCGACCATCAATTGCCATGAGCACCAGAAACGCTCCCAGTGGCTTAAGACGGACTCATGTTCTCCAACGAGCTGCTGGGAAACTATTTTACCAGTGGGCTGAAGCTATCAGTGCGCGGCTAGAAGAATTCATGAATGAAGACAAGAAAAATGTTGATCAGATTATTGCTTTGGTTAATGACGAGTCGAAGCAGAGGGAGCTGGTGATTGAAGATGAGGAAGAAGATTTTCTTGATGAAGGTATACACATTTTATTTTGTTCATTAATTTTTTTTTATTAATTTATATAATTAAGAGAATATTATTGTATTTTGTGAAATATTGACATTTTTAAAGATATAAACTCATCTCGATGTTACACTCATCGAGACCTTTAATTTGAGTACCCACATCAATTTTTCATATATTTATATATATTATATATATGTATATATGAGAAATATATTAAAAATGCATGTGGGTAGTCAAATAAAAGCTCTTGATGAGCATAACATCAGGATGAGCTTATATCTTTAAAAATGTCAATAATTAAGAAATGACCTTGTATCTTGTGAACTATTGACATTTTTAAAGAGATAAACTCATCCTGAAATTATACTCATTAAAACCTTTCATTTGAATACCCACATCAATTTTTCATATATTTTATATATTTATATATACTACATATATATAAATATGAAAAATATATCAAAAATGCATGTGGGTATTCAAATGAAAGCTCTTGATGAGCATAACATCGGGATGAGCTTATATCTTTAAAAATGTCAGTAATTAAGAAATGACCTGGTGTCTTGAGAACTATTGACATTTTTAAAGATATAAGCTCATCTTTACATTGGACCTATCGAGACCTTTCATTTGAGTACTCACATCAATTTTTCATATATTTTATATATTTATATATACTATATATATGTATATATGAAAAATATATCAAAAATGCATGTGGGTACTCAATTGAAAGCTCTTGATGAGTATAACATCATGATGAGCTTATATCTTTGAAAATGTCAATATTTAAGAAAGTACAGTGCAATTTAACAAAATTCATTATTTAATAACCAAAACTTTAATTATTTATATTTAACACGTCACAGCAGTCACATAGTGACCGCAAACTTGCTAGTTTTCTTCATTTCTTTTTTTAAACAATTTTCAGCTAGCATAAATTCATACGGCTCGCAGTGCCCAGTAGCATTGAGGATGGTAGCGTGCATCCTTCTCCTCGAAATAACAGCATTCCTGCGGGAAACCTACCAAACGCTTCCAAAATCATCGCGACTGTCAACGAAAGAGCGTCCAGCACCTTGGGAGAGGATGTACAGCCGAGAAGCGAATCGTCGTTGGAGCATGGCGTTATCCTCAATGGGTCACTCCCAGACGTCAGCCCAGAGTCTGCAGTCTATAGCCGGGGACCGCGAGACTGCTGGTGAGTTGAGGGAGTTGATCGAACGGGGCTCATGGAGCTACGCTAATCCCATCACCAATATATATCATCAACCATCTGACTCAATCGCCCTCGACTTTCGATCAGAGCGAAAAATCAGCTTTGTCCTCCACGAGCCAGACAACGAGTCCGAGGGTAGCAGTAAGTCGACCGTCACAATACAACCCGACGATACCATGACCCACCAACAGCAGCTGATTAATGACGCGATCCTCAGTCGGACGAGCGACAAGAAACGCGTCTCTGCGACGCCCAGCGGTAGACCTTTCTTACTTCGACGCGGTACTGCCGGCAATACTGGATCATTCAAGCGACGTAGTCTTAAATTAAGACGTAATACTAAAGAGGGAAAAGACATGGAGTGCGAGGCTTGTAAGTTCCTGGTTCCACATTCAGCCTAGGACTGGTCAAAGTCAACAATTACTTTTTTCTTTTTTCTTTTTTTTTTTTCAATTATTAATATTGACATTTTTTAGTCTACCTGAATGTTGATTGCTATTAACTGCACCCTTTTTTAATAAATACCGATAGTCATTCCATTCAGCATCAAGTGCATTCATACCCCACTTCATTTCATCACTTAGATTTTAATATTGAATTAATTATTCTTTTTTTTATATAGAATAATTTAGAGATAATTCTCTATATATATTATATTATATTATTAACTCCTTGGTAATTTATTTAAGATAATTATTTTTGGTCCAAGAAATTACCTTGTATCTTGAAAAATATTGACATTTTTAAAGATATAAGCTCATCCTGATGTTACACTCATCGAGACCTTTCATTTGAGTACCCACATCAATTTTTCATATATTTCATACATTTATATATATCATATATATGTATATATGAAAATATATATCAAAAATCCATGTGGGTACTCAAATGAAAGCTTTTGATGAGTGTAACATCGGTATGAGCTTATATTTTCAAAATATATATTATATACATTACTTAATTAAGAAATTACCTTATAATTAGTGAACTATTGACATTTTTAAAGATATAAGCTCATCCTGAGATTACATTTTTCGAGACCTTTCATTTGAGTACCCACATCAATTATTCATATATTTTATATATTTATATATATTATATATATGTATATATATAAAATATATAAAAAATGCATGTGGGTACTTAAATGAAAGCTATTGATGTGTGTAACATCAGAATGAGCTTATATCTTTAAAAACGTCAATATTTAAGAAAGTACAGTGCAATTTAACAAAATTAATCATTTAATAACTTTAAATTATAAATTTTTTTCTAATTAATTAAATACTTTAAAACAAAATTAATTATTTTTCTTGGATCAATTAATTTTTTTTCAGTATAGACATAATTAATATTTAATAAAAAATTAAAAAAAAAACAATTTTGTAAAAAATTAGTTAATAATTTTGATTAGAAATTAAAAAATTCGAAAAATAGACTCCTGTAGAAGTAGCCCCATAATAATATTTTATTTTCTATCCTATCGAGTTGTTCGATCGATAGATGCAGTGAGACGAGCAGACTCGATCCAGTCCAAGCGGAAGGTCAGCTCGCTATCAGACCGAAGTGACACTTCCGAGCAATACGCTGGAGAAGTCAGCGGCGAGGAGTCTCCGGGAATTCTCAGTGATGACCAGCCTCCAGAGAGTCCGAGTGACTCCAACGACACCGATGACACCAACAAGAACTTCCCCTGGATGAAGGTTTTGGTCCAGTTCACCGCGACCTCCAATTTTTTTTGCTCTCATCAGAACTTCTGCCACCCGTACTGTCACCGGCGGCAGATGCGCGCTTGTGCCCGGCTTATTAAGTCGGTGAGAAAAGTCTACGGGGAAGAGTTTGGAATTATTAATGGCGCTTCTACGTTTGACTTCGATGGGGATTGTAAGAAGGACGGAGATGGGAAAAAGGATAAAAGGGTCAGAAAAGTTTCTGATCAAACTAGCGCTCAGGTTTCGCCTGTCAGGAGGAAGGATAGCGTTGGTCGTAAATTTAAGTGAGTATTATTGAATAATAATAATTTTTTTTAATTACTAGTTAATAATATTTTGTTTCAATTGTTATTTTTTAAAGAAATAACGTTAATTTATTAATTTATGATAAGTATTTGGGCTGCATTTGAAAATTCTCTATCTCTAGATACATAATTAAGAAATTAGCTTGTATCTTGAGAACTATTGACATTTTTAAAGATATAAGCTCATCCTGATGTTACACTCATTGAGACCTTTTATTTGAATACCCACATCAATTTTTCATATATTTTATATATTTATATATTATATATATGTTAATATGAAAAATATATCAAAAATTGATGTGGGTACTTAAATAAAAGCTCTTGATGAGTGTAACATCGGGATGAGCTTATATTTTCATATATTTATATATTTTATATATATTATATATATGTATATATGAAAAATATATCAAAAATGCATGTGGGTACTCAAATGAAAGCTCTTGATGAGTGTAACATCTGGATGAGCTTATATCTTTAAAAACGTGCGGTGGCGTTACTCTACAAATCTAATAACTTCACTAGATTCTAAAAACTAATTAAAAAAAAAAAATAAATAAAATAATCCCTTGCTTGCCCGTAAAGCACTTAGCGTAAGCCAATAAATAATTAGAACGTAGTAACTAGAAAGCTTCGAGAAAAATTATTGTTTCTGATTGATTTTGTTTGACTAGCGATCATTAGTGACAGCTACTAAGACTAGAAAAAAACAACAAACAGAGTTGATAAAGAAGGCATTACAGGCACAGGATGATAAGAAGCGCGAGGAGCGAGAGAATTTTTTGATAACAACAATACCCATCACAGTCCAGGCTGCGTACGAGCCGAGTCCCGTCGGGGACGACCACGACGAAGGCAACGCCGACGACGAGAGCGGTGAGACCCAGCCGAGGAACACGACTCATCACGGGCAGTCCGCGCTCTCGCTCTTTCCCTCATCACTATGCTCCGCGATCGTCCAGATCATCAACCTCCTCGACGACGCCGCCGTCTCCGACGACGGCAACGCCGTCTACGAGGTCGCCTACCAGGTCATCTGGAGCTGCCTGGTTGAAGACAGCGCCCTCTTTCTTCGGTACGTCCTCGAGCGGCTCACTCGCGAGAAACAGGAGCTCATGTTCAAGATTTTAAGGCATCTCATCAGATTTGTACCGAAGCTTCCTCAGCAAGCCGCTTTTGCATTGTATAATTACATCATAGGTTATGTTATGTTCTACGTGAGGTCGCCGCATGAAGAAGGACAGAAACATATTGGAACTGCTTTGTCCATTCTTTGGATGGTAAGATTTTTTTTTTTAATTAATCACAATTAATTATATCACAATTTTTATTATCAAAATAATATTTAAAGCATTTATTAATTATTTTAATTCAATTTTTTTTATTCATTTAAATCATTTAATTAGGGTAAATGCACCAGTTGTTGACCGGTCACCAATTAGTTGACCGATGTATAAAAAAGTTAATTAATTAATATTTTACAGGAGTTTTTTTTTCTTAAAGTATTAAAATAAAAATATATGGCATTTAATCATCATAATATAAAATTACGCAATTAATTGCGCAGTGATTATAGCTTTAAAAAAATATTCTGAGTTTGTTTACAACGCAACCAGCCATAAAGCGGTCAAAAATAACTACCGTACAATTGGAGAGTGAGTGCATTTCACCATTAATTTAGTGATATTTATCGGCATAATATAAAATATTTTAGTTTTATTATGTTAATTAAAGATCAGATTCCAACTTTTTTGAAAAAATAAAGTTAAATTATAAGTTTTAATATTATTTTAAGACCGGTCAACTATTGGATCCGTCAGAAGCCCTTTACCCAGTAAAAAATTCATTCGGTCATTTATTAGACCCTCTGATTTTATCACAATCCAATTAATCACCGTATATTTATAATACTATAACTTCTTTACCTCAAAATTAAATCTGTCAAGCGTTTAAAGTACTTTAGTCATTCAATATTTTGTAAATATAAAAATAATCATTATAAAATGTATATTTATAATTAAAATAATACTTAAAATCTTTTTTGATTATTAAATTTTATTTTGTTATAATTTTTTTAGTGAACGGTTATATCAAAGAACGAATTATTAGAAGAAAAAATTGCTAAGCAATTAAAAAAATAAAAAAGAGTTACAAGCTAGTAGAAAAGCTTTAATTGAAAAAAACAAGGAGAAGAATAAAAAAATTTCAAGTGAATCAGAAGAATTATCGTCATCAAAATGAATTTGTGATTATTTGTGACCTAAAGAAATGTGACTTTATGTTAATTATTGCTATTATTTATATCATTTTATAAAAAAGTACGATTTAAAATTATATTGTATGTTTAGTTTTGTTAAAGATGTCGTTAATACTTCAAAAGTATTCCATAAATTTAATTACATACATGTAGTTTACAAAATTATTTATAATTATTTGAGCGGTGAATTAATTGGAGAACGGTCGGTCATTTATTGGGTTTCTTCGGTCAATAATTGGTGATTTTAGTATTTCAACATTCAAATAACAAAATTAATATAATTTTGTTAATTTTTATTATAAATAATTATTAATTATTATTAATTAAGTATTTAACTTTAATAAAATCCATTACAAATTGTTTTTAGTAGGTTAATAGATTTTTTATAGCTTAGTACAGAAAAAGAAAACCTTAATCGGTCAATAATTGGTGCATTTACCCTACTTATTTTTAAAAATAAAATAATTTTTTGTCAAGGTTGTCCATAGTGTCCACGGAATAATGTTCAAAGATTTAAAGCAAATATTACGAAAAGAGCAGTGCGACGCGTCAATACTACTCACAGCTAATGTTCCCTCCGCGAAGAAGATTATCGTACATGGTCCTCAAGACCCTGACGCTGGAGGTATTCCTTCGCAGTTTCCTGTTCAGGAAGACACTCAGTTTTGTCAGATTCTACGGGAGTCATTGGATTTCTTCGGGATCGAGGAACATAAGCACAAAGAGTACTTTCTGGTAGACTACAAAACCCGTGAGTATATTTTAATAATAATTTTTAATATAATTATAATAGTAATTTCTAATATAATTATAATAGTAATTTTTAATATAATTATAATAGTAATTTTTAATATAATTATAATAGTAATTTTTAATATAATTATAATAGTAATTTTTAATGTAATTATAAAAAAAAATTGCAGACCAGATCCACAACCCCTCGTCCTACGTCAGAGATTACTATTTCTTCAAAAGGTCGCAGTACCCTCAGTTGGAACTGATCCACATGAAGCCCGAGGACGCCTTTAATGCTCTGCAGCGGCAGGAGCTTGTTCACAAGTTTGTGGAAATTGGTAAAGTCCTGCTGACCTGGGCAATTTTGAAAAACGTCGATATGGTGGTTCAAAGGGTGGTTTTTCTACATGAAGAATTGATGAAACTCCCGGCGTTTCCGCGCAAGGCTCTCGAGGCGGACTTGGATCTTTACAAAGGCGGAGAAATCGGCAGGGTAATAATGATGAACATTTTTTTTTAATTATAAATAAATAAAATTTTGCTTTATTAAATGATGACTTTTGTTAAATTGTACTGTACTTTCTTAAATACTGACGTTTTCAAAGATATAAGCTACCCATATACATTTTTGATATATTTTTCATATATA